TCTCGGCAAACTTCCTAACAAAGTCACAACTTGATCCTCTTCGGAAATGGGCGCTCCAATTGCCGCAAGTTTATTAGTGATATCTTTCATGAGCTTCAAATGTTGTTCCACCGGTGTACCTTCTTTCATCTCGAAACGAAAAACGAAAATATTTCTTCTTTAAAAATAGTTTGTTCGCGAGTGTCTCTCTTTCAAAATGTTTCCTTAACGCATCCCACGCTTGCTTTGGTTCTTCGCTTGAGGTGATCAAGCAAAGCTATCAATATCCACCGCTAACAACCGAAACTGAGATGAATAGTTGTTTTAGTATATACTAAAACAGTGATACACCACCAGAAATTGATTTTAATTCATACTTTGCAGCAACGATTCCATCTCGTTTTTTCGCTGACAGATAAAATTTCTGAAGACATTTGTTTAGCTCTGGTTGCGACATTTCTTCAAATGCTGTTGCAAAATCTTTCTGTTTTTGAAACCATTCTGTAAAAGATAACATTCAACGTTGATTTTCAAGTGAACAAGTGAGGTTACGCAAGATTAATTTGCATTTGTAAACAAAAACTTTTTCAATGGTTTTTATCGATAAACTCCTCGTTACCATTACCTTTAAACACGGCCAAACCAAATTTCGTCGCTTTCTCTGTGTTTTCAGGGACTGCTTCGTCGTTATTTGAGTGATTTCTTCGCTTGTCACGGATGCAAACCGGAACGCCATTTTTTCCCGAGCTGCTCGGAGATAAATAGCAAAGGATCTTCGGAGTTTGACTAGCCAATCAGAGCGCGCCTTCAACGCTTCAACACTGTTTTAGTCTATACTAATATGTGATATTTACTATATTGGTACCACATAACGATACACAGCAACACCCTACATACGGTGGATGATGCATTTTTATTTTTTGGTACTCAAATGAGGATTCGATGCCTTTATGAACAATACTCGCACCTTTACATCCAACATGACACGAACTCGACGTGACACATTAGTTCCTTAATTATTTGTATATATCACACGTCTTAGAATATATATATTTGAGTCATCTTTTGCAATATATCTATTGCAAAGCCTCTATAAACATAAGTAAAAAACAGGCAAAACAAAACAGACAAATAAAAAACAGCCGGATATGGTCTCGTCTTTGAAAAGGGAGAGCTCTCTTTGAAATTTCTTTTGTCCTCTTTGAACGGCATAAATTTCAACAGTACCATGATTGAGCGGACACGCTCAACATAGCCTGGGGTATTTTGGCAGAGTTTTGGGTCCAATCTACTTGATTCAATGCTTATCTTGGTCAGTTTGTTTGCCGCTTCCACATTATTACTGAGTTAGCGGTTTACGCATAGTGAGTCACACTCAGGACACTCCGAGGTATCTCGAGGTAAGTTTGCAGGTATCTTACAAAATGGGATTTAATCATACCCACTAAAATAATGCGCACTAAAACTTAAAAGTTTTAGTGCGCATTACCCGAGAGAAAAGATAACCACTTAAATAAGGTGACGAACTGTACACGGGAATTTGGAAGCTCAGATTTGTAAACAAAGACGAGATCAATTCTAAAAATACAAATCGAGATATGCATATTTTGAAAAATTAGATAACACTTAAAAAAGAAAGATGACAAAATCTTACGGTTCAATAAATTCGTGTTTTGAATTTTAGGTAGCTGCACGTCTTTTAATCT